CTTCTCTTGGGCTTCATGTTCTGACTTAATGAGGAACCTGGTTCCCTGCGTTCATCAGGCATGATGGCCGTTCTCTCAGCCGCCAGCAGAGGGCGGAGCAACACCAGGCGGAACAGAAGACCCTGAACTGGAACCGAAACCTTTTCCAGTTCTAGAGGCAAACCATTCAAGACAAATGGGACGAGGAACGTCTGCAGCGACAGCAGTGAAGATGAACAGAATTCACTCATTCACTCATTTGTTCGTTTTTTCCTCTAGAGATAAAAGAAACAAAACATTTTATATAAACGACGATTAAAATTCAATCAAATAAAGATTTATTTTAATATTAACCTTATTAAAAAACTTTAATGTGTTTAAATGTATAAAAAACAGCAACATTAAAACTCAACGATCTAAAACGGTTCCTAGAAAATAAACTAGCTAAAACTGCGCTAGGCGTCGGGCGCCATCCAGTGGCCAAAGTAAGCGGTGACGGTCTTCAGCTTGTTGTTCAGGAAGTTCTGCTCCACCTCCACCTTCCCTCCGGGACCCGCCAGCGACGCCACCTGTAGGGGAGGAGATGCAGGTGCACAGGTTAGCGGCGGACGCTGCTGTGGCAGCTTTCAGGAGAACAGGCGCTACCTGGTTGACGTCTGCGTTGCGAGGCAGGAAATAAACGATGTTTTCTGAGATGCGTTTGGCTCGGCTGAAGATCTGGAAGGTGCGGCTGGTTAAGGAGGAAACTAATCCCGTCGTCAGGAGCAGCAGACTTTCTAACATAGAAGGATATCCATCGGGCTCCATCATGGTCCTCAGGTCAAACACATCTGCATTCAGATAATCCGGCCCCCCCCATGGTGGGGACAGGAAGACCACGTCCCCACGCAGAGTGGGCGCCAGCTCCAGGAAGTCTCCTTGCAGGAAGTCGATCCTCTCGGCGACGTCATAGACGGCGGCGTTGTGTCGAGCCATGTCCAGCCGATCCGCATCGATGTCGACGGCCAAGACTGGAGGAGCAACAAACAGGAAACACTTTATAATGGTTAAACGAGCTACGCTAATGCTAGCTACCACAGCGCCTAAGGCTGCAAGCTAGCCCTTTTTTAGCTCATGCCAACTATGAATTACCATGGTAACGCCTGAGATCATTTCAAAATAAGAGCAGAAATTTTAATTCATCTCTTAATTTCACTTTTTTTAATATTTGACGTAAAGTTGATTGATTCGCTTTATTGACCTCAGAGTGGAGAAATCTACACGTCACAAAGAAGCCCAGGACCGGGGGCCGCCTGGGACCGGGGGCCGCCTGAGCCCGGGGGCCGCCTGAGCCCGGGGGCCGCCTGAGCCCGGGGGCCGTCGGGGACCGGGGGCCGCAGAGACCATGAGAAGTTTGTTTAGAAGTTGCGAGATGTGGAAGTTGGAAGCTGTTGTGACTGGATTAGATGAAACTTTTAGGAAATATTGCGTCGATCATTTCTCAGCTCAGAGTGACGGGAGACAAATCTGGAGGGAATCATTTATTCAAGGGGGAAAAATCTCCTGATAATCTGGAGGCCATTCATTAAATAACACGTTTAAAATAACAAGTTAGCAGGAGGAACATGGGATTATTCTCCATCAGCAGGAGAAACATGGGATTATCCTCCATCAGCAGGAGGAACATGGGATTATCCCCTCCATTAGAAGGAGAAACATGGGATTATCCTCCATCAGCAGGAGGAACATGGGATTATCCCCTCCATTAGAAGGAGAAACATGGGATTATCCTCCATCAGCAGGAGGAACATGGGATTATCCTCCATCAGCAGGAGAAGGCTCCTCCCGCTGCAGGCGGGCTTACCTCTCTTCCCAGTCAGGGCGAACTGGATGGCGTTTCCTCCCACGCCGCAGAAGGCGTCTATGACCAGCTGGGCGTCGGGGAAGCTCTGCTCCAATCGGACGGCGATGTGCTCAGCAATCTTCTCCGGCGTCACAGAGAACCAGCCCTCTGCAGCACAGAGGAGACATCATGAAGCCCACAGACCCGCATCATCAGCGGACTGAGCGGCCATCTTGGGTCAGACCAAGCTGCTGTCAGAGACAATAGATGCTAACCCTAATTTCTGACTGTAGATGCTCTGAAAGCGCTGAAGCTTTAACTGATTTCCAGATGAATTAATCTGACTGAAAACGAAGATGTTTCCCAGGTTTTATGGGATTAACTGATTGATCTGATTTACGCTTCAATGCATCATTTGGATTTTTGTTCTGACAGTTAGCAATGGGTGAATTATCCTGCCATAATGCCAGAGCACATCATTTCAATCTGAGGAAAGAATTTCATCTCCTTGCTCTCCAAACTTCTAATGCTCTCACTCTCCAAACATGCACTCTCTCTCAGATATTTTCTCCTCGCTCGCCTCCTTCTCTTCGCGCTCAAACCGCGCTCTGCTCGAGTCTCAGATACGCTCGCAAACCCTTAGGCTCTGCCTGCCGATTTTTTTTGCTCTCTCAGATTGCAGTATGATCATTGCCTAGCAACCTTTCCAGCCTTTCAGAAGACATAAGTCTCCTTTCCTTGTAATGTCCAACCGGAGCTGCGATTGGACTCCTCTTTCGGACCAATTGTCCAACATTTTAAAGCATCCATAACTCACTGACTGGTTAAAACCTAAAGATTTGCCATTATACTAACAAAGTATTTCAAGATAATAATTTAATATGTTGGTTCTTTGCTTTTCTACATAACAAACCACTAATTGTTTAAAATGACTTAATTCAGAATATTTTGGTTTATCCATCAGTGCTGAACAGGCACACTCAGTAGGGTTAAACAAGCGCACCCTTTCCCAGGCTGTCGTTCCATTGGCTGGGAAGGTTGCTAGGCGACCATCCAACTGCAATCTGAGAGAGAGCAAGAAAAATCGGCAAGCAGAGCCTACGGGTTTGCGAGCGTATCTGAGACTCGAGCAGAGCGCGGTTTGAGCGCGAAGAGAAGGAGTCGAGCGAGGAGAAAATATCCGAGAGAGCGCATGTTTGGAGAGTGAGCGTTAGAAGTTTGGAGAGCAAGAAGATGAAATTCTTTCCTCAGATTGAAATGATGTACTCTGGCATTATGGCAGGAGAATTCTCCCATTGTTAGCAAACTTACACACACACACACACATATATATATATATATATATATATGCTAGATAGTAGAAAGTTAGAACGAATTCTAACTCTTTCAGCTCTACATTCTAGCTTCAGCAGTTGATCCAACCACATAGCACAGCTGTCCTAGATGCTCTCACCCACCTCGGTCCAGCCAGATGCCCTCATCAAAGCGGGAAAACAGTCGGTAGCGCTGAGCCCAGTATTTAGCCAGTTCCGGATCGGCCGCCATCTCCGCCGGGACCTTCTGCTTCCTCCTCCTCTGCTTCTTTCTGGCCTTCCTGCCAGGTTTTACAGCCGACCCTGCATAGAGACACGACCGATGGTCAGGCTGGAACCCAGAAATATGAGCATTCAGTTCACTGCTGTCACTCAACAACCAAACCAGGTCATTGATGACTGAGCAGAAGCCTGAGAAAGACCTCCAAGTCCAGTTGTCCTCCCTCTGCCGTCCTTCCCCTCCCGTCCTTACCCTGCCGTCCTTACCCTGCCGTCCTGCTGTCCTTCCCCTGCCGTCCTTCCCCTGCCGTCCTCCCTCTGCCGTCCTCCCTTCCTTCCCCTGCCGTCCTGCCGTCCTTCCCCTCCCGTCCTTCCCCTGCCGTCCTCCCTCTGCCGTCCTGCCGTCCTTCCCCTGCCGTCCTTCCCCTGCCGTCCTTCCTCTTCCTCTGAAAACCACCACTAGGTTTGCTCTTTCTGCCGATGCTTTCTTCCTCCAGAGGTTCAAACGTCCATTCAGCGCCACATGTCAGGGTCAGCGGAGCGGTGACATCATTTCCTTCCACCGTGGTCAATCATTAGCTCCTTCTGCGTCTGAATGCTGCTAGCTCAGCCGCAGAGCTAACAGGTCGCCGCGTTTATTTAGCATTTTTTAATTATTAGAATTAGGAATATTTGCATGAATAGGAACAGAAATAAACTGAAGAATAATAACAACACTGGAATAAAAGCTTTACCTTCAGGCGGGTTTGATGGAAACAGGTTCACTTCCTCTGGAGATGCTGCCGACCCTCCAGGCTCCTCCTCCTCCACCACTGGCTCCTCCTCCTCCACCACGGGCATCTCCTCCTCCACCACTGGCTCCTCCTCCTCCACCAC